TTCATGGGTTCTCCATATAGTAGTGATAATGGTTCAGGACCGTGCAAGTGCGAAGTGCACTTTTAGAGACTCGGTAGGATACATCCGTAGACGAATCCGGTTTGTCGGACATATATTATAGAAACTCTAAAATGCCTAAATAGGAGATCGGTTTTATACCAACTACTCGTTACATTACTATTTTATTATCAGCGGTTCGATTAGATACATTTACTATTTACATACGAGATCGGTTTTATACCAACTACTACAAAATTGACTTATTTACTATTATGCCATTGTTATTTCTACTCTTTCATTTACCGGTTCATAGCTTTAAGTACTACATAGAAAAACATAACCATTGCTATAAAATAGACTAGAATACCTAGTAGGATAAGAGCCACTATATGTATCTTGTGTCTTGATTGTAAGTTTGCTAGAGATGTTGGATTGATTATATGCGGTTTAAGCTTGCTACTATTTGACTTTCCTTATGAGAATGCATCTCTCTTTATTATAGGATCATACTAGTCAATGTGAAGGTCATGGTCATTGAATTGTTGTCATGCCCCTTGCTAATTGCTAAATCAATAATTTAATTATCCATGTACCTCCTTTAAATGTTGATAAATGTTTAACTATTGTTTGCTTCAAATTGTACTTTGTTTCTTGCCTCAAAGTTTAACTATATGGAAATTATTTTTGTGTCATCCATCCGCCCTTAGTTTAGCTTTATTCAGTCTTCTTCACTATGATGGAACATTTTAATGTCCTCCCTAACTACTTGTTGTTTAGTCTTTTAGCTTGTGCTTTTTCAGAGTTCAAGTCAATTTGGGAATTTTTTTTTGAAACTAATCATTTTGTTTTAGATATCAAGTAGTAAATTTAATAGCATTCTTCTTTTCAGTCAAATTATTGTAAAGAAATTTTAGAGATGTGCAATAAAAAATATTATTCATGAATTGTTTGATTGTATGGTCACAAACCAAAACATATTGCTTGAATATCGAGTTGCAATCATGTTTGAGTTACAAAAGAGGTTTTGAAAATGAATATTCTCTAGGAGTTATTTGGCAAGAGATCAAGAAAATTAGTTATTTTAAGAGCGAAGAACTCGAATGTTGTTTTGTGAAAAAAGAGAGGTATTTGGAATAAGCTTAAAATATGATTTTAGGTTAAAAAGGTTGTCATGTATTATTGTTCTTCTTGCTAAGAGAATTTGCAATTTGATATCATAAACAATGATGTGCCACATGCAAATATCAAATAGATCAAATATTTTCTCATTCTCTTTAAGGATAAAACTCATTGGCCTAAATAATTCTTTTTTTATTTAAAAGAACTTTTGAAAGTAGGCAATGCAAGCTAGTTTTAAGGCCTTGAAGAAAAGGATATAAAGACTCAAAATGTTTTTAAGAGTTTGAAGACTAAGGATCACTTTAACATTTCATATACTCTTATTTTATCTTTCCGATTGAAGATGTTGCTTAGTGTTTTTTTTTTCATTCTTGTTATGTTGTTGGCTTCGGTCTTCTTTCAAAATAATGGTTTTTATGATTCATGATTATCCATTTTCTTATAAAAACAATTTTTTTTCATTTTTTTCTCTTCATTTTTTGTGTGTGGATAAATTAGATATGAATTCATGACTATGTATTTTGATTTTATCTTTCTAATTAAGGATATTACTTAGTTTTCTTTCACTCTTATTCTATTGTCGACTTTAGTTTTCCTATAATTTATAATTATCCTTGTGTATATATTATGTTGTTTTCTTCTTCTTCTTCTTCTTCTTTTGGTGGATAAATTTGATATGAGTTCATGACGATATAAATTTTAACTATCATCATCAACAAACCTTACTCGATATGAGAAACTATTCACATCATTTGCCTCAAGGTGGGGCTAATCTTAGTCTTGAATAATCATCACAAAAATTATTAAGACTAAAAATGGAGCCACAAGAAGTTTTTGTTTATATGTAAAAGATATGTCAAGGATGAACTTTTCATCTAAAATTAATTTTTTCGAGTTTACAAATTCTAGGTTTTTAAAAGGTTTTTTCCTTGAAACCGAAGAGAAAAAGTAAGAAAATTGAATTTGTGACCTTTTTGTATCATTTAAAACATTAAATTCATTTTTTTATCATTTATGACAAGACTCTTCCTACAATGATGTTGTTTGGGATTAAGTGATTGTGTTTTGGCTTTCAAATATAAAGATTGCCTCCTAGCAATTGCATGACATATTTTAGGATAACTATTTTTTAGAAATTTTTCAGTGAATACACTTACCATTATATCTCTTCCTCTTGGGAATGAAATATAATATTAAATGATACTTTCAAGTGCATATTTCATGATTTCACCCTTTTCGGACTATTTCCATCAATTGATACTTATGCATTGATAATATCTAGTTTAAAATCAACAATAAATTTCATTCCTAATTGCATAAATAGGCTTTGATGACAAAACTATACCCATTAAGAAATTTTCATCTAAAACAAGATACACCATCAACATAAGAGCTTCGATCTAGCCTCTTCCGTCCGTGGTACCTGCAAATTCATCTCATCACCTTCAACATTGGCATTATATGGGTTTCAAATAGATTCATTAAATCTCAAAGCTCGCAAGGCATTATTCTTGCTCGTTAGAACAAAATGAGAATGCTGAATATATATATATATTTCAATACAATCCAAGCACATGAAATTAATTGCAATCACCCCGTGACACATGATAGACATTCGACGCAAGCATGGTTGTCCGTAAAAAGAACAAGTATCCCCATCCTTCGAATAGTGGTGAATTATACAACCAGTTCCTAGGCAATACATAATTAGTCAACATCCCGTGGGAAAAACAAACATATAATTCACCTTATTCACAAAAGAAGATGTGATCCATTAGCAAGCAATAGCGAGAGGACAAAGTTTGAAGAAACATCCGGATATATGATGGGTGCACCGGGTAACGAAAATTACATGCAACTATGTAAAGAAAAGAAAAGGAGTACTGAATAGAAAAGAAACAAATAAGAAATGTACGAGGCAATGGAAATAGAAACATAAGTATTCATGCCATAAATCCTTAACAACAATCATACATTCGAGTGCCATACAAACATTTACTTGCCATGGTTGAAAAGGTAAAAGATCAAATACGGTACTAATCGGATCCGAATGGAGCATATTTTCAACAATTCTCTCCAAACTCCACTAGCACCACCTTCGAGGACACTTGAGCGGCTAAAACACCGATGTATCGAGCACAAGAAAAACATTAAATAGGGAAATGATAACATAAACAAGAAACATTAGAATTTTCTTTTATTGAAAAAAAAATAATTTATCAAACGAAACTAGAACGAGTTGTTTAAAAAACACAAAGCGAGTCTAAAAATAAACTAAACCGAGCTCCCTCTATAACAACCGAATATATTTCCCGCAACCGCCATTTCAAATGCTACATGATGTTTAAAGACTATAACAACCCAACCTAGTTTGACAAATTCTTGTTTACACTAGGTAACTTAAGCCTCTAAGGTTATGTATTATGTATGTCTCACTAGAAGCTCGGTATTGGACAAACAAAATGGAAAAGGTAAGTGAAATTCATTTGAAAGATAAAGAAATATAACATCAAAGGCTAATGATATTAGAAATGAAGTTTCTAAAAAATTAAATTCCAATTCCATGATTCTGCATTCACCAAAAAGAAAAAAAAATTAAGAGCAAGAATCATGAACAAAAATACAAATGAAAACTACGATAGATAAGGTCAAGCTACACACCAAACGAGAACAACACAACAAAATGATGCATAACAATAAGATGGCATAAACACTCGCTTCACAGAGAACGAGAAAGGAGATGAGGTCCATTGTGACATCAACGAGTTCAATATGATACAAGAGCATTATCGACAAATAAAAAATTTTGAATGGGAAAAAAAGATGCAATAAGTGGTGCTAAACAAGGTTTTGGACAATTGAAAATTCTCATAGCAGTCTCAAATTTTAGGAATGACCTCAAAGGTAAAACTATACCAATTTTGCAGAAAAAAGTAGGCTATCCATACATGACAAGAAAGCTATAGATGTCTACTTTTTGATGCATTAAATGGTACGTAAATCGATGCTTCATAGAGGGAGTTATGAGAATTTTATTCGAAGTATGCGAGCTATTAGGAAATTCAAAATCTCTCATTAGCATGAATTTTCACTTGCATAATCTGCCTTGATTGTCAACAAACACCACACTCGAACTTTGACAATCAAGCCAAAGATCACATGAATGCTTGTGGAGTCAATAAGTGGTCAAGTTTGCTTCAATAGAACCAACCCCTAGGACTAGGGATAGAAATGACATGCTTGGCGACATTGGTATAAAATTTGCCACCTTGAAGATTTTATCACCTACTTGAAATCACATTAATGCTTCAATAAAACCAACCTCTAGTTTGAATTTCATGTCTAGATGTATTAGAAATGTTTGTTATTTTGCTAGCTTAGAGATATTATTCCAAATGTAAATAAAAGAATTTCATCAATGTAAAGGATAGCAATTGTTGAGTTGGGGAAAGTCATCAAGTTGGTCATGTTAGCTTATTTTTAGGTGTGTATCTTTTTGGTGGATTCCATTGAAGGGTAAGCTATCTCGAAGTATAAATTCTAAGGTGGAGATTTTTCCGTATCCTTAGGTTTTGTGTGTCTAATCCTTGTTCATTCACCTTAGAGTGGTAGAATTCTATATCTCTTAAGGGCTAAGCATCATCCATCCTTCAATTTATTCCTCGTTACCATTTGTTATTTCCATCCCTCATCATGCACAGAATCCGCCCAATTACCATCCATCCCCGAAATGGTATTAGAATATCACGAGAGAAAAGAGTGGCAACTTAACACCGGCATGATTTATATGAATTAGAAATAAAATAAAATAAAATAAAATAAACAAAAAAAAATGGAAGGAAGTAAAAGATAGGTCACGGAAAATAGAAATGGATTGGGAACTAAATAACGAGATAATCCAACAACAAAGATGAGAAAGAAACTAAACCACAGCTACTCAAATCGTCCCATTCATGACAATCAAATTTTAGAAACTTAAAGAGAAGATCATCGATAGCTAGAAGGATTAGATAACTGAAAATCGAAGCATCATAAAAATAGAATGGCCAAAAGATCCTTGACTTCACAAGGTCATAAATGGATGGTTCCACAACCAAATAGCATGATCGATACAAAAGACTTATCTCAACTATCATAAGAAATTAATAAACAAAAAATAAGGACAATTGGTAAGGAATGTGCATGTTTGATTAAAATAGCAAAGTAAAGATAAACCAATTCATTACCTTTATTAACTTCCAGTTGTGGCTTTTTGGCCTAAACATTTGCACATCAAAGCCTTCACGAAGTCCTTTACCATCATTATTTGTATGACCATAATAACTTACCTTGGCTCGATAAGTTTTTGTCTCATTGTTAGATTCATCTTTGGCCTCCAAGGTTATGAAGTAAAGACGAAGACAATCTATAGCAAGAGTTGCCTTGATAACCTTCTCAAGCTTGAAAATTTTCTTGCCGTCTACGTACATCAACTAAAGTTTAAATTAGAATTCAATCGACTCGTTATACCAAGTAAGATCCATGTAATTTTGAAAACTATACCTTCTTCACATTGTAACGATGAACAAGCAATACGAGCACACCTTTTAATGATTCTAGCATCGGGATCTTGGAGATGATCAACAAGGTGCATCCACCGTTCGACGAAAGGAGCATCATTCTCAATGTCAAAACCCTACAAGGATAAACATTAAAAAAAAAAAATTCAATTGTTGCTATTTTCAATTAGAATAAATTACCTTAGAATTTTGAACATCGCCAAAATAACGAACTAATACTTAGTCTTCGGATCAATGTTATCCTCATAACCGGACAACTTAATCATTCTATCAATTCCATAGTCGAACGTATCGTTGTCCCAACCATCATCCGTCTAGATGATTCCTTTCTTTCTTCTAGGAGGCGGCAAATTACCTCGCCGTCTTTTGGGTTCTCTACCGACCTCATAATCTGCGGGTTCTCCCATGTTTTTCTTGAATTTGAAATCCCTAATAAATCCGATTTGGAACCGAGGTCGTTCACCGGTGTATTACGGGACCGGTTTCCTTTAGCTCCTTTGATTTCCTTCCATAGGTTTGCCGTACGCCATACGACCCTTAAAATCCTACGTGTCATATTTCTATTGGTTATAATTTCAGAAAAAAGAAAAATTATTATAAATTCAAAATAATGAAAAAAATCCGACAAAAAAAAATTTAAATAAAAAGACTTTGATATAAGCTATTGTCTAAAAAGGGATATATCATAACAAAGAGATTTCTATAGTTCTAAGTTAATAGTTATAAACCATATTTCTACAATTCCGCTTGAATTTTTAGAGTTTAATGGCGTAACCATGCATGTTTACAACTACCCTAAGCAATCCTACTTAATTTGGTCGCCATATTAAAGTAGGACTCTAATAATTCATGGTTGTAATGCACTTGCAATTTTAACAAACTCCAACTACGAATTAGTTTTTTTGAGAACTTCTTGATGGTTGGGGCTTAAATGCTTAATACATTAACGAAAAAAAAAACATATGATATGATGCCCACATGTTAAATTATCAAAAATTCTACGAAGCTAGCTGCACCCCAAAGAGGATAATGCAAAAACTTCAAAGGTGCACTAAAAAAGAAATATCAACAACAACAACAACAACAATAATAAATGAATCGACCTTCTTCATCCTCAAATCCTCATAGTTGATTACCTCTTTCAATCAACCACCAACCGATTCATGACCACAACCAAGTACTCTTAAAATCTCATATGTAGTCGCCACGGTAAAAAAGCCCATAATATCTCATTGATCCCTCCACTAGTCACTACTCACGAGCGACCAACTACACATAAGGGTGAACAAGTCTGTTGAGTTCTCTCGTAGCCGATGTTCAACAATCTTCTAAGATTTTTGAACACTCTTTGGTAGCAAAATTCTCCCGGGGTCGTCCTCCAATCAACACAATAAGATCCCACATACAACGACCTTGGGGCTAGTAAAAAATCCAATCATAGGATTGATTGATCCTCATCATGTCCCGATTCAGCTATTCTCCATAATAGATTTTATCAAAGCTTGGTCTCATGACTCCCATCTCCATCTAATAGAGAATTTTCTCGTTTAAGTCGTTCAAATGGGAGGAAAACTTTAACATGAGGTATGAATCGTCCAAGGCAATAGTTTGGGTTAAACTTTAAGGGCTTCCATTACCTTTTTTTCCTTTAACCTTGTTGTAAGAGATTGTCATATGAATTGGTATATTCTTACGTCTTGATGAGAGACCTCCAAATGGATCACATCCAATTCATGCCGGGGTATTGGTTAAGGTAGATATGAAAGCCTTTCTAGCCTCTAGAGTATGGATTTTTATTAGATATGATAAAAGAAAAGGATTTTGGCAACCTATCTAGATTGAATCCAACACTTCCTTTTATGACCATTGCTACTTATAAGGGCATCTAAAAGCAAACTATCGCGAGGTTAATGATGATGGTTAAAGCTCTTACGAGTTATGCGAGTCTAGGATTCCTTCGGTTATGTAGGAACAAAACATGTCTAGAAACAAATCTTGGATATCAATTACACAGAAAACAAAAAGAAGGTGATTTCTACTATGGATCTATCCATCCGAAGTAGTCTCAAGCCTAGGTTACGACTAAAATTGTAGCTCATCACAAGGGTAAGGAAATACTAGTTTCTAATTTAGTGCTACCTCTAATAGAAAATAGAAAGGTTGCTTCTTGCTCTTTAAATGGAAATACGAGTGATAGAGACAACTTAATCTAACATGCAACTAGTATAGATATTTATTAGATGAAAAGATATAAAAATGGAAATGGTGTAATCATTCATGATAGTAGCAAGTGGACCTAAACTCATTAGCAATAATATTGTAGTTGAAATGGATAGTAAATCCAATGCATGCATGTTATAAGATCATGCCTCATCAAATTTTGCTTCTACATTGCATGGGATATCAAAGGATAATTTACAAGGAGACATTGTAGTTACTTAAGGAAACCAAAGTGGGCCAAAGAATAGAGACAATAATTTAAAGGCTAACATGGGAGATCTCACTAAAACATGCATGCTACATAAGCATGCATCATCCAATGTTTTTGAAGCCTTACATAATATTCCAAAGGGCAGTGCTAGATAAGGAATTGCTACTTCATAAGGTTGAATTTGAATTGTCTCTACATGCTATTTCGAGGGGGATATTGTGCATCACAACTGGGTAGAATCAAAATATGAAGAAAAATTAAGGGCTTTTGAAAGACAAGGACAATAAATGTCCAAAAAATTAAAAAACAAATTGCTAAAGAGATAGTTACAATAGAGTGAGCAACATGCTACTAGGTTAGCTAGAGATCATAATGGAGAGCGTTTTTTCTCCTTGCCATATGAATAGTATTATCTAGAAGATAAGGGGTACTTGTGCCCCGGATAAAAAAAGGTACTTGAAACGATCGCTTTATCAACATCGAGTCTCCTTTTTCATTATTCTAGAACTAAGCAAATAGGTGACAAACTACATAACTTTGTTCAATATCTAAACTTTTCAAGATTTGCACATGATAACCATACCAATAAGCATGTTTAACTTTTATGGAAGGATCACCTCTTGGTTTTTGTTAAAAAGACTTACTCCTAGTCCATCATTGTCTCGATCATGGATAATATCACTAATTTAGTCTCTATGCTATCAGTCATTTTGCTAACTATAACTATTATGAAAGATGATCTTTGTGGGATAATCTCTATGCCCTCATACCCTAGGTGGTTGGTGGAAATTTTAATGCAATAGTAGAACCCTCAAAAAAGGTTGGAGGAAATCATCATGGGTTGAACTCTATGTTTGACTTCAATAGTGGCATGGAACTACTTGGTCTTCAAGATATAGGCTTCACTAGTAGTAGATTTACTTGGTGTAACAACCAAGAGGGTTTATCTCATATTTGGAAATGCCTAGATAGAGTCCTAGTTAGTTAAGCATTTCTTGATTCTTAGCCAAAATTGGTGTGTAACCATTTAGCTAGGGTTTACTCTAATCACTCGCCCCTTACTCGCTCTCTACTATTAGTTCCTCTCCAAAGCCTCGTAAAATTTTCATTTAAAAGGATGTGAACCTCATATAATGATTTTTTTACCATTCGTTCATAGCAATTGGTAGACTTCATTCAATAGCTTTCCTTTCATTGATCTATATTTGAAACTAAAGGCTCTTGGGGAGAGTTAAAGAAGTGGAACTCGGAATGTTTTTAGGGACATTAATGCAAAAATCAATAAGACTATAGATGAGCTCCTCTAAATAGAGTTACTACTTCAAAACAATAAGACTAAAGAGAATTACCTAATAACGACTCATCGTGAGAGGCTAATTATCTTGTCTAGTGGAACAAGAGGAACTAATGCTACAAGAAAAGGCTAGAATCAAATGGCTAACAACCGAAGATCATAACACATCTTTCTTTCATGCATGCATACATAATAGAGCTATAAAATCTAGATTATCCGTCACACTAAAAGATAGCAATGTATGTTCGGATGAGGATACGATTGGAATGGTTGCGATTAACCATTTTCAAGGACTTTTTACTAGCGAACAGATTGTTAAGGGGGCTCCTTTTTTAGATGTCATTCCTTTGCTACTTATAGTTACCCATAATGATTCGCTAATGGCTATACCTACCGTAGAGGAAATCAAGGCAACGGTTTTTGAAATGGATGAATTTAGTGTTTTTGGTCTTGATAGGTATAATTGTGCATTTTACAACTCTTGTTAGAGCATCAAAAGCAATGATCTCATCAATGCCATTCGGACTACATTCTAAGAGGGATATTCGAAAGGTGTAATAGCCACGACAATGGTCCTTATTCCCAAATATGCTCATTCAACTAACATATCTAACCTAAGACCTATAAGTCTCCGTAATTTCTCCTATAAATACTCACCTACATATTAGCTTCTCGATTGAGCATGGTGCTACCATCTATTATCTCATGGGAGCAATCCAGATTTGTCAAGGGAAGGATAATTCATGAAGGGGTTGCCCTAGCTCGGGAACTTATGTATGACATAGACATGAAGGTTTTTGGGGGGAATATTATTTTACAAGTAGACATGGCCAAGGCTTATGACAAGTTGGAATGGTCATTCCTCCCGAAAGTGATGAGGATCTTTGGTTTTTCAAAGTAGTGGTATGAGCTGATCCGGAAATGCTTAAGCAACTCCCGGTACTCCATCGGCATCAACTCCGGATCCTATGGTTTCTTCAACTCTTCACAAAGGGTAAGGTAGGGAGACCACTTTGTCTCCGAGCATTATTCATCATTTCACAGGAGGTCTTCAATAGACATCCGAATGTTCATGTTAACAAAGGGAATATACTTTCATATTACACTAGTCAACATGGCCTTTCAATATGCCATCTCCTATTTGCAGATGACATGTTGGTTTTTTTATAATGGAGGGGAATGGAATATAGAAAATATTATGGCTCTGCTGAAAACAAATACGGTGATTAATGGGCAAACTATCAATGTTTATAAGAGCTTGATGGTGTGTAGCTCTAAAATATCCACTCATAGAAAGCTCATGTTGGCAAACTAGACATGCTTTAACACGATCACTAACAAAATTAGATCCTTAGACATGCCATCGTTTAATGGCCAAGGAAAAGTAAAGCTTATCCGTAAGAAAGAGTGAGAGAGCTTGGCCAAAATTAAGAGGAAAAGTTTGGCCAAAAGGAAAAAAAAAAAAAAGAGTGTGGCCAAGAGAGAAAGAGATTTGGGTAGCCTAGGTTGAGATGAAAGAAAGGAAGAAAAACAAAAATTTTTAGGAGTAAGGGTAGTCTTACCACACTACAAGGCATAAGTGTCATATGAATATACATTTATGAACTAATGAGTTTAGGTGTTTATTGACAATTTTTATGGTTTGATGTGTTTATATGTTTGGATTAATGATTGATCGCTTATGATGTTATGTTTACATGTTTAATTGATAATTGAATACATGTTGGGTTAAAGGATGGATACAAATTACTGAAGGTTACATAAAGTTATCTAGTTTTATGTTTAATTGTTGATAGAATGTTTGAGATGTTTATGGATTTGGCTTTATGAA